TCTAGGTTTTTCGTTTAATTGCAAAAGTTGTCGAGGTATGGATAAAACTTGATTCACTTGGTATATTAAAACACTGGTATTTTTAGAAAATTACAGATAAATAGCTAGTTGACATAGTTCAGACTTGGTAATTACACATTTCTGTTTTCCAATTAACATCGAGCTTTGCTATTAATTCTGCTTGTATTATAAGTGATTACACGTTTGGAGCAATAAATCAAAAGTTGCAGTGCGAATCACAATATCCATTTCGAGAGCAAAGTTTTTAAGTGACGCTGTTTATTAATTTTCCCCTTTTCCAGCACGGCAATAGCGCGTTGCACGAAGCCGCCTGGAAAGGCTACTCCCGTTCCGTCCGTCTCCTGGCCGCCGCAGGAGCCACCCTCTCGCGAGCCAACGCCGGAGGCTTCACCGCCCTCCACTTGTGCTGCCAAAACGGCCACAACCAATCCTGTCGGGAATTGCTCCTCGCCGGCTGCGATCCTGACATCCAGAACAACTACGGCGATACCGCTCTCCACACCGCAGCGAGATACGGTCATGCTGGAGTCACTCGAATCCTCATCTCGGCTCAGTGTCGTGTTTCCGAACAGAATAAAAACGGTGATACTGCCCTCCACATAGCTGCGGCTATGGGACGGCGGAAATTAACAAGGATATTGCTAGAGGCGGGCTGTGATAAAAGTGTGCGCAATAAACAGAACGAAACTGCTCGAGATATCGCGTTAAGGAAAGACTTGAACGAGATTTTAACTATTTTGGACGAGTGCGTGGCCAAGAAAGAGAAGAAAGGGAAGAGCAAGAAGAGGTCGAAGAGTAAAGTGAGGTTTGATCCAAAACACAACTCTGGTGAGATTCTTAAACTAAAAATTTGACAGTACTACAATTTTATAGTAATTTTTTCCAGATGTTGTCAATAGGATTGAAAGACCGCGACATTGGTCACCTTACGGGTGCCACTATTATCCAGATCCGGAAGCGTTTCCCTCCCCCCGACTTGACTCACTCCCTCAGGAGCCTCTGAAACGTGGCGAACAATACTACTTAGACTTGGCGGGGAACATTAGGAAGGGTCCAGTAGGAGTGGGCTACACTTGCTATTGTGCCCCTTTGTTCCGTCATCTGGAAGCACGTCTTGAAAGGGACAAAAGGGAGTTGCAAAGGGCTCAAGTCAGATTAGGACAAAGGGTCGCCGGTTTAGAACAAAAACTCAACAGAGGTGCCAATGGACGCCGCTCCGAGAGGGTTATATCTAATCACCAACCTGAACCTCAACTGCCACGATCCAGAAGTTTGGAAATGTTAGATAAGTTGGAAAGGGCTCCAATGCAAGCTGCAAGGTCAGTTTTGACCAATTTAAATCACCACACAGTAATTTAGTGATTTTTCAGGAGTTTGGATGAGTTGGACCCTCCTGAGGATGAGGAAACGGAACAAAGACCCTCGGTTAAGGAACTGGTTGCTCGGATTCAACAGCAACAAACCAGTGCTCAAAACAACACCGGAAACAACAGTGAGAGTAGCGATGATGAAGACATTCCCATGCGAATGACCCAGTTTAAGGGTCCCATGGGTGATTCCAATCTAGCAAGTCCTGTCCCAATGCCCAATTATGAAAACGTCCCAAATGACGCTCCAAGAAGCAGAAGCGGGGTTTACAGTCCCACTGTCATAAACACAGCTTTGGTGGACTCCAATTCGCGTTATATCGAACCCATTGTCAAAATTCAAGAGTCCAATATTCGATACAACGACACCTACTCACGAAATGCTCCCTCTACGAGTCGAGGGTTGGACCAAGAGGTTAGATATGACCCGAATTATCGTCTACACTACTACGACAATGAAATACCAACTCAAAAATATTACGACCTTAATTCGAGGTTCGCAAAATTGAGGATGTTGGATGGGGGGAAAACAGCTCTAGACGGTGCCAGGATGTTAGATTCGAGCAAAATGTTTGAAAGTACGACCAGAATGTTGGAGAATCCGCAAGACACCGCCGATAGGGACACTAATAACGATTCGGGATACTCGACAAAAGTGTACGGGAGCTCCAAGGGGAACTCCCCGAGTTTGTCGGGACAAATCGATAACGAGTGTTTAGGTGCGTCGAGTCTGGTGTAACACCAAATTGTAATTCCACTTAATGACATGTACAAATGTTTTTGGTCGAGTTTCAACGGCCGAATTTTTTACTGAGGTTGCTTTAATTATGGTGCCGTATCTTTTGAAGATTACCTGATGTATTAAAATGTACTAAGTAAGAGAATTATTTTGCTAACTTAAGAAATGTATTTCATAGAATCTATTTTCACACATCACTATTACATTCTTCATTATTTTATTTTATAGCCACTAGAATTGTTGAGAATATGTATATGTAGTATGAATAAAGTCGATATATTTTATTAAATCTTTTGTTTTTTGGAATAAAGAACAGCTTTCGACAAAAAGTGATAATATAAGGCAATTTTATACTTTCGTTCATAACTCAGATATCACAGAAATTAATTATCTGTTAAAAAAAAGTAAATTAGAAATAGACTATTTAGAGAAGCATAAGGTATTTATTTTTTCTTTCTAAACATGCAGTGAAGTAACAGCTAATTAATACTAGTTTTTTTGATTAGGTCATATTTTTATATAACATGGAATAATTCTTATCTCCTGGGTTTGAACGTAAGGTGGATGCCTTCTTGTAGAACTATGTTGGCCGTATTTGGTAGTTTGGTCTTTTTAGAGCAATATTGGCACTGTTTCGACTTATTTTTAGAAACTGAAAATTTGTCCAAAAAATTCACTAAAAATTTTTCATTGAATTCAGTGTCAAACTTTTGGGAAGTCTTGAGTATCCCGATAAATTACAAACATAGATATTATGGTGTCAAACTTTTGGGAAGTCTTGAGTATCCCGATAAATTACAAACATAGATATTATGGTTAAAAATGTTTCTCAATACGTTTTCCTTTGTGATGGTTTTGAACAAGAAAAGAACGATTATAGGCCAGAAAAGCACCTAAGTAATTTTTCCCAAATTTTTTTTTCAATAAATTAATTCGCTTACAACTTTCAAATTATTTATTTAAAGTATGTTATCACTTATCAGTTTTCCAACAGCAATCATAAAAAAGAGAGAGCAATTAGTAGAAAACAAATTGCAAGTAATAATTATTGCTACTTTATTTTTTATCTCTTCATCCTTGGCTTGAAAGTAAGTTTGATACCTTCTCTCGGAATAATGTTAAAAGCAGTTGGCTGAATAACAAATGGAATCACAGTTTGATCATTTGGTAGAATATCAAACTTTGCCAAAAGGTGAAAGAAAAGGATTTTTATTTCAAGCAGAGCAAATCTGGAACCTAAAATTGGTCTGAAAGTGATTATTCACAATTTTTTGTAAGTATATACCTATGCAATTCCTTGGGCCAATCCCAAATGGCATATATGTTCCTGGCACAATTTTGGATTTATTTTCATCACTAAATCGTTCAGGATCAAATTTTTCAGCATTTGGAAAGTACTGGGGGTCTCGGTGAATTGCAAAAATTGGAATTATTGTCATTACTCCTTTTTCGATCGTAAATAATCGTTCGTGTGGTTTGATTGGCTCGATTACAAATTCTTTGTTACATTAACGATCGGTTTGAAACCCAGGAGACCAAAGTCTAAAAATTTCTGCAAAAAAATGTAGAAAAATAAAAACAGTTGGAGGTACTCACCACACACGACTTGGTCCAGATATTTCATTGATTGTATCATGTTGTATGAAATTTTCTCTTGATTTTCTTTCAGTACAGAGTCGATTTCTTCTTGGAGTTTCTTTTGCACGTCAGAATTTACTGCTAATTCGTATGCCGTGAAACTTGCACCAACTGAAACAGTTTCAAATCCACCAAAGAAGAATAGAAGAGCTTGTGCAACAATTAGTTCGTCAGTCAATTCGATTTGTTTGCTGTTTTTCCCAATATCAGATTCCTCAGCTGCGGCAAAACCATCACTTTCGTTGCTATTATCATACTTAAGATTCCCTTTTCGAGCCTTCATCAAAAGATGAATCATGTCTGGACGAATAATTCCTTCAGTTTGCCGTTTTTTTATATTTTCCAACATAATACTTTGAAAAAATTCCGTGACTTGTTTAGGAAACAATCTGAGTTTGAAAAACTAAAAATTTAAAATCATAATTTTGTGAAAATAAAGCTGCAAATTATTACTTTAGCTACTTGGGGAAACGCTTGTGCAATAAAAATTTTAAGTACTTGAATTCCACCAAGTGATGAAGCTAGTGCTTTTCCCATTGCAAAAAAATCATTTTTGATTTGAATTAATTTTGATTCCAAACGCTGTAGTAGCAATCACATCGTTTGTAAATCTCGAAAATGCGTCTTTCATTTCAACATTCATTTGCCTCCCTTCAAAATGCTTTACGAAATTTTCAGCACACTCGTAAATCAAATGATACATATTTTTCATTTTACTGCTTGTAAATACCGGACTTAGGGTTGCTCTCATTTGTCTCCACTGTTCTCCATTTAAATTAAACAAGCCTTTACTAAGTAAAGGTTCTGTTGTATCGCTTGCGAACGGTAAATGGTCAAGAAAACTGTCAAATTGTTTAACACCAATTTGTTTAATTAATTCTAAATCTCGGATTAAAAGTGCAGGAATTGTCATTTGCATATACCCTACGTATCTACAAATAACTTGCAGATTTTTGGTCAAAATTTAATAAAAATACCTGTCATTTGGAAATTGTTTGTAAATATCGCAAGCAATTTCAATGAAGTGTTTCTTCCGAGCAATAATAGGCCACATACTTCCAATTATAGGCCATGATGACACATGAGAAATGTTTTTTTCTTCAAAAAATGCGCAGTTTTTATAAATTTGTAGAAAATTAAAACACCCAATATCACACCCAACACTACACATTTTGAAGACTGACCTTAAATTTGTTTTTATTTGATAACAACTCTCGCAAAATAAGAAAGATAAATCATTGCAAAATATAGTTTATTTTTAAAATAGTATTACACTTTAGTTAAAATACTAATAGTAATTCTTTCTGGGTCTGAATCTAAGATGAATTCCCTGTCTTGGAAGTAGAGTAGAGCTATTTGGGCAAATTTTAAATGGGATTATAGTTTTATCATTTGGTAAAATATCAAACTTTGACAAAAAGTGCAAAAATAGAGTTTTTATCTCAAGTAGGGCAAACCTCGAACCTAAAATCCATATTAAAAATACTGAAAAAAGATATTTTTTCTACCTATGCAATTTCTTGGTCCCACACCAAATGGTATATATGTTCCTGGCAAAATTTTTGCTTTATTCTCATCATTGAATCGTTCAGGATCAAATTTATCAGGATCTGGGAAGTATTGAGGGTCTCGATGAATTGCAAAAATGGGTATTTCAATCATCACTCCTTTCTCAATAGTAAAATTTCTCTCATGTGGCTTTATTGGTTCGATTGGAAAGTCCTTGTTGCAAAAACGATCGGTTTGAGAAGCAGGAGGCCACAGTCTTAAAGTTTCTTTTGGAAAAGAGATTGATAAAAAACAACATTAAAGGAATTCTCACCACATACAACTTGGTCGAGGTATTTCATCGATTGTATTACAGTGTAGGAAATTTTCCCTTGATTTTCCTGAAGCACAGAATCGATTTCTTCTTGAAGTTTCTTTTGGATGTCAGGATTTACGGCTAACTCATATGCCATAAAACTTAAACCAGTTGAAACAGTCTCAAAACCGGCTAGAAAAAATAAAAGGGCTTGAGCTAAAATCAGTTCGTCTGTTAGTTCTATTTGTTTGCTGTTTTTGCCAATTTCAGATTCCTCAACTGTGGCAAAACCATCAGTAATTTCAGTGTTGTAGTCATATTTGAGCTTCCCTTTTCGAGCTTCCAGCAAAAGGTGAACCATGTCTGGACGAACAATTCCTTCATTTTGCCTTTTTCTAATATTATCTAACATAATATTTTGAAAAAAACTTGTGGTTTTTGGAGGAAATGCCCGAAATTTAAGCATCTAAAACTCCAACTTAAAACTCTTGCCATAGTAAAACCGCAACAAATACTTTTGCTACTGTCGGGAATGACAGGGCGAGAAAAACTTTAACCATTTGAGTTGCGTCAAGCAACGAAGTTAGGGATTTTCCCATTAAATAAAACTCATTTTCAGGCTCATTCAAAGAATTGACTTGAATTCCAAACGCTGCCGTCGCAATCACATCGTTGCTAAACCTCGACAAAACATCTTTAATTTCAACATCAACGACTTTATCCCCGAAATGCTTGGTAAAATTTTCAGCGCATTCAGAAATCAAATGGTACATATTTTTCATTTTACTGCTGGTGAAAGCTGGACTTAGGGTCGCTCTCATTTTTTTCCACTCATCTCCAAGTAAATTAATAAGACTTTTGCTGAGAAGTGGTTCAATGGCTTCATTTACAAAGGGCAAATGGTCGCGAAAATTGTCAAACTCCTTTACTCCAATCTGTTTAATCAGGTCCAAGTCTCGAATTAAAAGTGTCGGTCTTGTAAACAGCAGGTAACCCACATACCTGTAAAGTATCTATGATTTTGGTGTGGCACATTTTAAAATGACCTACCTATCGTTTGGAAATTGGTTATAAATGTTTGCAGAAATTTCCACAAAGTTTTTTTTTTGAATAACAGCTGGCCACATACTTCCAACTAGGGGCCATGACGAAACGTGGGCGATGTGACGTTTTTCCCAGAAACTTGCAGGTTTTATTATCTTGTAGTAAATTAAAGCACACAGAATTACTCCCAAAATTATAGTCAACATTTTGATTAAGACTAATGTTGGAGCGACGGAAGCTGCCTATTTATAAGCGTTATCAGTTGATAAGATGATTTGCTATCCGGTTTTGTTTCAGATAGATATAAAGAAGTATAAACATCATTACTCAGCAGGCATCAGAAAATTACAGAAAAGTGCAAAAACAAATTTTAAGCCAAATAAATGTTAAAAAACATTAAACCATTCTTGTTCCTGATAAAATGATAAGATAAGCTTAGATAAGTACAATAAGTTCACGGAATACTTTAGAAAAACACTTGTTTTTTATTTTTTCATTTATTTCATTTTTTTATTACATTTTTTTATTACATTTTTAATCACGCCATCTGTCTGGGTTTGAGTGTAAGGTGGATCCCTTCCTTTGGAGTAATATTTCCATTATTTGGACTTATTTTGAGAGGAATTACTGTTTTGCAACTGAATACTAATTTAGCGAAATATTATGCGTAACTTGACAATTTGAAAGAAAAAATTTCCGGTATTTTTATAATTTTAAGGTTGGCTAGGGTGCATATTACAGCCTAAGATAAGCAATATTATTACTCCTCATGAGATTTAATGATGTGTTTCCCACCCTTTAAAAGGTTAGTAATCGGCATATTACATTAGTGATTGTGAATAAAAACATTTTAAGTTATGTTTTTTTTTCAACAATTAAAAAAATAGTGCATTTCATATCAAAGATGAGTACAATAAGTTCAGGCGATACTTAAGAAAAAAACATGTTCCTTATTTTTTCATTTATTTTA